TTGATGGGTTTCACAATTTAAAGGCATCTTGAACTTGTACCATTCATTGGTAAAAGTGTCGTGAAGTTTGAAATTAGTTGTCAGTCAAGCACAATCATGGCGTTACCTGTAGAAAGGTTACAGTGAATAAATAGCAAAAAGTATTATTATCCTTCCTTCAATCTAACCTCAAAAAACTATTGCATACATCTACTTTATTCAAATCCAGCATAATGGCCATAGTTCTATGATGAGAGATTTAATTGTTTTTACTGGCTACTCTAGTTTGGTGATGTGATAGTGTAAACAAGTAGTTTTAAATAGCTCTAGTTGCTTCACAGAATCACATTTTCTTTTCCTCGTTGGCAATGTAGTCACATGCTGCAGAAAGTTCATTTTATTAAAAAAAATAGAGTTCATTGAACTTGCTGTTGTTCAGTGGTTTTGTCAGTGAATATGAAGAAAGGGGGGCCTCGAACTGCACTAAATGAGCTTTGTCAAAAATCACAGTGGCCAAGGGCTCGGTTTGAATCAGAAAGTTGCAAGCTCAGGTTAAATCTTCATCTAGTTCTGTGTTTGCTCTTTCATTGGTAGATTCATATTGAGTATAAAACTGCAAAATGTTGCGAAATAAATAACGTCCTAAACATTGTATTTGGTTCGCCTTTTATCAGTCATGTGAGTTGCTTAGTCTCAAACTCTTGTGATGTTTGAGTAAATGATAAGCAATAGCATGCTGCATGGTTTCTCAACTTTGGTAATTTTTTTATCCTGTCTGAAATGAACTCAATCATGCGCAGTGCTGGAGAGAAGAATGGGCACCTACATTTTGTCTCGATCATTAAGCTGCATATACCGAATTGCCCTTGTATCAGTCTGAAAGGAGAAATGCGCCCAGATAAAAAGGCTTCCCAAGATTCAGCTGCAATTATCATGCTTTATGAGCTCCAGAAACAAGGCAGATGCTGCTTGAAGGAAGTGTGACTGATCCCCAGGGCTAGATGCTCAGATTGGGGCTTTGTGGATGTTATTTATGTGAAATACATTTGATTATTTATGTGGATCTCATTGATTGCTCTATAAGCACATTTACAATGCAAGGACTCTTGCTTAGTGCAAGTTCAATTGGTTGTTGCTCGTTATGTTTACTGTTTGATTATGGTTCTCTTGTAAAAATCACTGCGTTGCTGCATCCTGCAAAAAATTCAAATCTCAAACATTTTCCACTAAATCTAGTGTTAGGAAATTATGAAAGTTACTATGGACTTAAGTTACACCTAACTACAACCCAGAGGGCCTCTCAACGGAGTCAAAACAGCGAGATGGCGTGTTTTTTCACTCCAATGGAGTGTCAAATCTCTAGCTAAAATAGCGGGATGTTACAGTATTTGTGTTAGAAATGGTGTAATACTGTAGCATTGGTGCAACCATTTTTTTTGCTTTTGTTATTTATCCATCTATTAATAATATATATTATTTTATATTAACTGTTATAATGAAATTAGAGTATAAAATAATTATTAAAATAAAATTCAACAATGAAAAAGATAGATAATTTAATCCAAACACTTAAAATTTCATAATACTAGAACCAAATGAAGAAATAAGAAAAACTACACCAAAAAAATTAATAAAATACAACATAAACATTAGGACATAAAAATTAACACTAATTGCAATACATTAAAATTAAAGAAAAATAGAACATTGAACATAAGCTAAAACAACATTTCAGTATTCTGGGAAATTATCATCAGAAGGATGAAAGATGCTCGAAATCGGTACAAGAAACTCGTGTAGTTTTGGATGAGTTACTTGTGTCAAATCTTTCAGTAAAATTAAAATTTCTTCTCGTAATTCATCCACGTCCACTTTTTTGCCGCAGTTTGAGCTCGTAACATTTGGATTTCATAATTTAATTGTCTATCAACATTATTTTTTTCCATCATTGCAACAATTTTTTGATTCTCTTCTTTCATATACTCCATAAACTTAGAACTTTCTTCATCATTTCTCTTTTTAAATTTTGCTTTCTGTACCCCTATTGGTCTTTCAATTGAAGTACCACCAAAATCATTGTCATTCATATTAAAACCGAATGAAGCCAATCCAGGAGATGCTGGTGCGGGAGACTCTGAAGTGGGAGAGTACTCTGAATGTGATGATGCAAAGTTACCATGTTGCATACGTCCCACTTGAATTTCAGCATTAACATCTGCAAATTTTTCGATATCTTTCAAGATGGGCCATACATGATCGAATTTGAATCTCTTCTTATCATTCTTATCCTGAGCAAACAACACTTTAGCCCGATTGAAATGCAAATGTAATGCCTTTTATTTTTTTTTGCTTGCAAGTGTGATGTTTTCTTTTGTGATGTTAAATGTAATCTTTAGTTGAATATATGAAAGTGGTATTTTAATTTGATTTAGCCTTTAATTTTTATATTTTTATTTTATTTATAAAATATATTATTATAATTAATATATGTAATGTATTATATAATTATATAATTTGTTAAATATTTTAAATAGATAAAAATGTTAAAAGATAAGAATAATAACAAGAATATTCTTTTCGGTACAACATTTGGTGTAATGGGTTGGAGATGAAATAGTGATTTGGTATAAAAATTACACAAGTTGGTGTAAAAACTACACCTTTTTATGTTTTTCGGTTGGAGATGCTCTGAGAATGAAAAACCCCCCGTCTCTGCATATGTGTGCATGCTTGACTGGTTGGACGCAAGAGCTCATTGATGCGTCAGTTAGAGAAAAATTAGTCAAGCGAACAACTTCATGCTAGTTTTCTTTTTCATCAGGTTACTTTTCAGGTTGATCATGTCAAATTTAGGTCTCTCTCTCACAATTGTATATGCAACTAAATCAGGACGGAGATAATCATACACGTTTCCATAATGGGCTTTTCCTAGTGGAAATCCACTACCAACATGAAAGCGACTTCCACGGCTCTGAATCAAGCGAAGAAAACGGGAGAAGCTTTTTAGCTTGTTTTCTTTATTTCGTTTTTTTTTAATGTTTTCTTTTGTGACATGAAGTTGGTTGTTGGATTAATTAGGATTTTGTAGCACTAACTTTTTTTATATTCTTTAATTTCTGTGTAGGCTTATGTAGCTTTAATTTGATAATGAGTGAGAAGGAGGAGCGCATTTAACTCTTTCTCTCTCCATGTGATTTCCCCCACTTTTCTTTGAGAACTTAACCAGGCTATCAAAAAGGACTGGTGGGCGTCTCTCCTTCTTCTGCCTTTTATTTATTTTGTCTTCTAGCAAAGTAAGCAAACCCCTGTAGTCAAATCTTTTAATCAGCGGTGATATTTATACGCCAAGATACAATGGATGAAGAAGCAATGAGCTCTGGAAACCACTAAACCTGGTCCTAGTAGTTCTGAAATATCTAGATGAGCCTCTAAATCCCACTAAAATTTCGTCCAGATGCGTTTTGAACATGGACAATATGATAAATGTATGGATTTAGATATTCTTCAATTAGATGGTAATTGGAGAGTTCTCAATTTCTCTAATTATTACCGTACATTCCGAATTTGATGGATGAGATTAGGCCACGTAGGATTCTACTATTGTGATAGTGGTTTCTGAAAAATGATGATTTTCAAGATCATAATAGTTTATCTTGTGACCTGCATCGTCTCTTGAATTTGAAATGTATGGCAATCGAGGAATTCAAGACTTCCCAATTACTTTCTAATTAGAGAGGATCAGAATCCTGCACGCATAATCTTCATTATGAAATAAAGTTAGAACTTGAAAACAATTAAACAAACACAATTTACACGCGACAATGAATAATTAAGAAAATCACACAAGACTTTAATATGGAAAACGCTCGTTAGGAGAAAAAAAACCTGAGGATCAAAATTAACCTACTATCGCTAATGAAGTTTTACTTTTTTGGACAGACAAAGACTATGAAACTTTCTAAATTCTCACACCACTCCTGAACCCGGTTACACCATCTTGTACCCCTAGATTATAAGAACAATCTCTCTCAACTAACCCTCCCCCCTTAGAGTGAGTGTCTTATTCCTGCTTGCTCACGAAGCTAACTTGGTTTCTATTAAAACTCCTAGGATGGGACCTAGTATTAATCTTCAACTCCGGCTGTGACTTGGATTTTAAGTCAATACCTAATAGTTTCATGAGAAGGCAATGTGTATGAGAACTGCAAATTTTATTGTAGAAAATATGCTTTAAATGCAAATCGAGAGTTTGGCTGAAAAACAAGTTGGGTGAAAGCTACACAAGTCTATCGTATGAGAAAAATACGGGCGTAGATGGCTTTGGTTTCTAAATTTTAGAAAGATTTTTGGGTTATTGGCACATTTACCCCTTAAATTATTAATATTTATAAGCCTAGCCCAAAACATTGGCCTACCCCCATCAAATTATAAACATTAAACAAATAAACCTAGACAGTGTGAGAGTTTCACGCACCAATCGCCCTCCGCTCTAAATCTCCTATAATTCTCTCTCGTCTCCTCTGAATCAAAAACTAGCTTCTCGATGCTTCGGCAGGCGTTCCCTTTGCCTCTTCAACCATAAGTTTGCCAGGAAAGATGTTTGCCAACAAAGAAATCAGCAACCCTGCATAAAATTCCCATTAAATTGGGGATTATAGCCCTAATTACTACGTACTTTTACTATTAGAGCTACTCCTAGCCGGATATTCTACCGCCGTACGACGAGGGTGAGCACTTCTAGCCCAAAATACCGTAGAAGAGGCTTTCTCGCAATGCCAGCGATTGAATTTTTGCGTTGGGTCAAGTTTCAGCTTGGGACACTGTGCAAGTGGGAAACGAGGATAATTTGGGGACATTAACTAACAAGGATAATTTGATCATTTGAAAAATAAAAAATAAAAATTAACATAACTAAAAAGGGATAGGGTGATGCTACAAGGATGCACTGTTCATGATGATGCACTGTTCATGAACAGTGCATCATGGGACAGGGAGCCGACACCTCACCTGTCCCATGTAGGGTCTCATCTTTTTTGGATCCCTAAGGGATTTTTCTTTTGCAAATGTTAATATTTGGAGGATAGTTTTGTAAATATTGATGATTTAAGGGCTAATAAATATGCCAGTAACCTTAGATTCTTTTGATGAGATCGATGAAACTACTTTTTAACTTTTTACAATTTTATAGAGATCACAACTTTTGCTCCCATCATATTAAACTAGTGTGCACCCCGTGCAAAGCACGGTCTCCATTTTTTTAATTCTGCTATAGTAATTATGTATTTAAATACAGTTTTGTAAGTACTACATTAACATTTTTTAAATGTTACAGTATCCCGTCTGAGCTTCAGTAATAATGCTACAGTAATATTTTTAAAACGCTACGGTTACAGCCTTTGATACAGTGATAATGCTATAGTAATTTACTGTAGCATGAATAGCACATTTTTTGTCCTCCTATATGTGCTACAGTAATTTGCTGTAACATTTACTATAACATGAATAGTAAATCTTGGATCCTCCCATTATTATAAAGGAATGGATGCATCAATTTCTTCTATAAACTTCTAAGCCTATTTTTCTTTCGTAATTATCATGTTCGAAACTATTCACCGGAAAAAGAAAAAAAAAACTTGTCTTATCTGTATCTGCAGCTATGTTTCCACACAACCTTGCACACAACCGAAAATTCAATAGGCACATATGCTTGTCTTGTGGTCTATATAATTCAGTTACTCGACTTAAAGAGTTTGTTGCTTTATTAGTAGGAGATGGTTTCTGGGAGGAGTTTTTTTGAAAAACCTCTTTTTTACGAAATAACTAGCAAAACCGATCGTTTTACTAATTATTTAGCAAAAACGACCTCTTTTTGGCCAACATGCCACAAAAATGTCGGTTTTAAAAAACAACTGATTCTAAACATACGGGACTACTAGTCCCGTATGTTTAGTCGTTATTAATTGGCGACTAATCACGCGACAAAAATCTACGGGACTACTAGTCCCGTAGATTTTAGTCCTACTTAAGTCCACCAAAAGCAACTGAGAGTAAATCTCCCTACCAATTTCCTGAAATCCTACCGGTTCCCAACCAAACTATTCCAAACCGACAAGAATCTCTCCTCCATAGCATTTCTAGCCTT